GCATACCAAAAGCCCGAAAAAATCTAATCAGGGGAACATTGTTCATTATAAAGATATTTAATGGGTTAAAATCAAACGTTTTATTGCACAACTGCCTAGCTGGAAGCGTATAAATGCATGTCGTTGCCAAGTTGTTGCTAACGAAAAAATGTGAATTACAGGGTAATACGCCCGCGCGCGATCCAAAAGCGGGGAACACATAGGTTTGTCGCGTCAAAGGGATCTGTTGCCGAGTGATCTCCTTCTCAATAATACCTCCATGGTTAGACCGAGACTGGTTAATGAGATCCCTTTACTAAACAATTAATCCAAGAATCGAAGCTGTGCAAAACAGAAGTGCGAAATTTGTCATGAGTGACTATGGCCTAGTTCAGACTAGGTGGATAAACCCGGCTCAACTCACCGGGTTTATCCACCTGCCAGTCTGAACTAGGTGGCATATCTCAAGCCGGGCTTATCTCCAAATCTGAACGTAGCCTGTGTGGCTTATCTCAAGCTGGGCTGTGTTCCTATAGTAACAAGGCCTGGCGTGCCACCGTGTTTAACTTTTCTAAGCCGGGCTTTAATCGTTGCGGGGTGGTGGAGGCGTGGGTCTTGCGTTGACTTCCGGGTAACAAAATGACCAATCAGCATTCAATTACGTACGCTGTGAGCGAGCGTAACGTACGTTTCGCGAGCAATGTTTTGAAACACGTTTCCTGGTTACGGTTCATTATTATGCAAATTCACGCCTGGCTAAACCCGCTAGTCTGAACGCCCGGCAAAGTTGAGCCGGGCTTAACGTTGAGCCAGGCTTAACTCAAGCCTGGCTTATCTCCAAGTCTGAACGTAGCCTAAGGCAAGAAAAGTTCAAGATTGCTATATCCGACGATACGCTAGAGTTCCTATCTGCTGCATGCGCTACGCTAAGCTGCAGTGCCACAACCGCTTCTCGCTTTGCTCCAAAGATCTTATAAACACAAGATAGAATTCTCGCGATTTACGGGTGCAAATTCTGTAATAATGCATGAAAAGCGCCCTCTTGCAAAATTGAAAACTTTTGAACCTTGACCGCTCTGACCATAGCGTACGCCGCACGAAGCGTCCGATTTACAATGCGCCCTCTCTTTAGAACATAATGAACAAAATTAACGTACTTGGTAACGAACTTATGGCGTAACGCGAACACCCTATCTCAGATCCATGGCAACGATTAGGACGCCCTCTCCCAAAAGTGATTACTTTTCTGCGCCAAATCGACGCTTCTATTTGTTACGCGTAAATCGCGGAGAACGCTATCTTGTGTTTATAAGATCTTTGCTTTTAGCAAAGATACTAGAAATACAAGATAGAGTTTCCTATACTTCGTGCCCAACGTACAGGGCGCCCTTCTGTTGCTAAGTATATCCAGACGCAAAAGGCGCCCTTCCTTTTCCACTAATGGAGGAAAACTGTTTCACTAAGAGTGCGTCCGGCCATGCGATTCTGCGCTGTATTGTTGTTTTATTCTTTACTGATTCATGATATTATGCTTTAATTGTTTTGTGTATTATTTGGATAATAGCAACGATTTCTACCGCCACCAAGGAGGTTATGTATTCACCAATGTCACTGTCTGAGTGTCTATTCCAGTTTGTTTTTATATCTAGTATCTTTGTTCAGAATTGGTAATAAAATACGCGACGACTTGGTAACGAAAGTTTGGCACAAGTTTTTTTAGATCTTATACACATCTAGATGTGTATTTAGATCCAGCTGTAGGGGGCGTACCATTTTTCGTATTCCCACCATGCATTTCGGTGGAACACGGTGGAACACTTTTTTTGTGTGGAGAACTCTATCTTGTATTTCTAGTATCTTTGCTTTTAGGGTCGTTGAGGTGTATACATCCAGATCCAGATCCAGATAGTCGGACCCATTTGAAAATTGTACAGTATATTTTTGAGTTCTGGTATATTGTTCGGTTCCTGAACTCTGATTGGTTGCGCACTTTGTTCGCTTCGCATGATGAACAGACACTTTCGACTCGCATGAATAAATTCACAAGTGGAAAACAGGCTAGCTTTGACGCGAGTATACGGCATATGGCAAATTTTGAATTAAAAGAACATCTTTCGGTGCCTGTTGAGACCTTTTTTTTTAGACCCCTCCCCACATGAACAGTAGGAGGGCCCGTCACAGCATTTTATTTTTGTTTAAAATCATCAACACAATAATCTTATTACAAGCCCGTATCCAGGGGGGTTTTATGGTTCGGGAGAACCCACTTTTCTTGCAAACCCCCCTCTTTTTTGGAGAAACCCCCTCTTTAAATTTCCCAAATAAGTCCTCCAACGCAACTAATGCACTGCAAACCCACCCAGACATAGACATTTTCAAACATATCTGCTTTTATAGCATTTAGACCTATAAAGCACAAAAATCCTCTTGCTTTGGGAGTTTCGCCGACCCCACCGGGGCTTCGACTATGGACCTCACGCCCAGAAAACCCTGGCCTGTATCTATTGACATTAGTTAACTTTAATAGAGGAGGTGATTACGCCACTGAACTGAACATTTTCACACACCATCACACCCTCCCCTGGCATCCTGGATACGGCGAACAGGTCTGTTTAGTATAATACCCATGTTGTTTCTTTCTGAAATTATAAGACCTCTTTGTTTTGATCATGGGGATGTATAGAAAGAGACTTACAACCAGGTATAATATTGGTAATCAATCGAAATCTAATACAATGATCACGAAATGGTATCTACATCACGTTGGATTATATTGTTAGAGGAATGTATTGTAATATCAATGCGATAAAGGTGGCTATTGAGTAGATAGACCTACTTTCGTAAATCGATCGGTTTGTGTTGATGCTGAAGCTGGATTTCCACTAAGCGAATTTATTCGCGCGAATCAAAGCGTCGGTTCGCTTTCTGAGCTCTGATTAGTTGCGCATTTTTTCGCTTCGCAAAAACTCCGATAGGAATGTGAACACGCATGCGCATGAACCGACGCTTTCGATTCGCACGAATAAATTCGTCTATTGGAAAACCAAGTGGAAAACCGGCTATTCGACTAGGCGAATTTATTCGCGCGAATCAAAGGCGTCGGTTCGGTTCCTGATTTCTGATTGGTTGCGAAGATTTTCGCTTCGCAAAAAGTAGAAACGGTACTACCAATTTCGCTGAAGCGAAAACTCCGAGAGAAATGTAAATGCGCATGCGCATGAACGACGCTTTCGATTCGCGCGAATAATCCACTAGGCGAGTTTATTCGCGCGAATCAAGCGTCGGCTTCACATATCGGAGTTTTGCGAAGCGAAAAAATGCGCAACCAATCAGAGCTCAGTAAGCGAACCGACTCTACTACTACTACTACTAGAATAAGTTTCGTAGTCTTTATTGTCACTTGCACCTGTTTATTTGTATATGTTTTTTGTTTCCATTCTGTAAGTAGCGGGCCACCCGCTGTTGAATGCGAATTGAAATAAAATAAAATAAAAAATAAAAATATATCTAAATGAATGAAAAACATTATAATCATTCCCTAACAATTATAAAGCCACGAGCCGTAAAAGAGTGATTGTCATCAGTTGGCTCATTTCCTTCACTGCGCTTAGTGAAAAGTTTATTAAATATATACAAATATAATATTGTAATTTTGAAATAAAAGAAAAACAATTGTTAATTAAGGAAGCACATCGAATTTCATTGTACTGTACATGTATATATGACAAATAAAGTTTATTGAGTATTGGATATTGACTAATACAAAATACTAAAACAAAATAATATAGCACCATATATTAAGGGCCTATACAAAAAAATATACATAACAATTTAATTTTGAATAAGGGCTAATATAAGCAATGTTAAAAAGCAATGCCAATGACTCGACTTCAAGTGGAGAACAAAGTGCATTCATTCACCGTCAATGTTTTAATGTTTACTTTTATAAAATCTTCTATATATTTGTTGTTTATCTCTTAGATTTTAGATTTGCTATGTTTTGGTGACGTTAGTTTTTTCTTTCTTCCTTTCTCCCCCCCCCCACCCCCCTTTTTTTTAGGACGTAAATAAGTTTGCCACTGTTGTAAAAGTGTCGATTTCAAACAACAATTATTACGCTATGGCCATTATTATAGGTGGCAGCAAACTTAGTGCTGCTGCTTTCACGTGTGTGTGTGTTTGTTTACTCTACAGACAGGCAGCCTGTGACAGTGCCCAGGCCTAATGAAATGGATTTTTCTAAAGCAAAGCAATCGAGACAGAAAGTTATTGATTTAAGTAAGAAAGGTTCAATTGACGATGCAATTGTTCCTTTAGTAGATAAAATAAACTCATCTTCATCGTATTTCACAACTAGTTCATGCTCTGGTCGTATATGTGTCTTCCAAGAGGTAAGTACAAGCGGTGACCGTACAAATTACAAGCTAGGCCTAGGCCTCCAGACTAGTCACGAATCACCCTCCCTAGGCGTAGTCACTAGCCCACTAAAGTGCAGGGGCCTAGGCCTGACTAAACGCATTGCCCACACACTATAGTTACCTTGTATTGACTGATCGCTAGAGGGCCTCTCTTTACTGCTCCAAAGCAAGACCAACCTCATCTTCTGCAAGTAATCAATATTATTTATTTTATTTATAATTTGTTTTAATAATTAATAAAGATAGAGTGCTTCTGTTCTGTCCCTTGTGATTCTTACCTTAGTGATTCTTACCTTAGTGATAATTACAAGATGCTTGTGTTGCTGTTGTATTGTAGACAGCACAAGAGCATGCACCCCCACCCCCAACAAGGCATGGGCGTTGGGGGACAGGAGACAATTCCCCCCACATTTAAGACGAATAATGCATACCTGTTTTGTAGGCTAAGATACCTGCAATGATCTGAGTCCCACAAATATTTTCATCAGTTTTCTATCTTTTAAAGAAAAATGGAGTTCAGAAGAAAGGATGTGAATGGCTTTATGTAACACATAGTTATGGATCTAATCAAGAACTGGTAACAAAATAGTGTTTTCTTCAGATATTTCAACAATACACTGCTACTGTAGAGAAAAGAGAAGATGATGATGAAGATCATGATGACTATGAGGACGATAACAGTAGAGACGGCGACTACGGCAGATGTGACGCCAATAATGGTGACAGTTTAAGATACAGTAATTGAATTGATGAAGATGCTGACCATGAGGATAAAGCAATGTTAACATTGACTTTTGTCCTACTGACTGGGTATTCAACCTTTTTGAGCTAATGGCCCGTTTCATTCTATTGCAGCCAGGGGCATGCTGACATTGGGTACTTCCTCCAAATTCCCATTCCTTTTTATACAAGACATCATACTAAATGCCTAAATAAGAACGCTTTCGTTTATAAGATGATGATAATTTTTAACATAATAGGCCTTGTTTTACAACAACAACAAAAAAGAATTTGCACCCCAGTGTCCCCTACCATACCATTAGAAATTTGCTGAACATACATAAAGAAATTCACTCAAGTAGTTAAAAATTACTCAAGTAGTTAACAAATGTGACAGGGCCATAAACCGCAGGTGAGAGGCCAAAAATGGGTTTCCACCTAACTCGGCCCCATCACGGCTGGGGCTAAGGTGAGCTAATCTTAAGAATAGGCACCTCTTGATGCCCAGAAACAAAGATGCACTCGCAGCCTGATTCCTAACAATAGGTTGAATACCGAGGTTTACTGTATGACCCTATGACACATTTCCCCTTGCTGACACCTCATCATTCTTTCCTTCAACATTCTAACCAATCAACAAAGTATTTCCTAATATAACACACCCTCTTCATCATTAATAGTACTAGTAGATGGCTGAAGTTTTCATTAGTCTCTTTACAGGAGTCTTGTATGTCAAAAATCACTGGTGATGCCTTCTTCAAATTTGAACCATTCATTTTACATGTACAGTGTTCAGCTATACAGAATGCCAGAGTTATGGTATGTCATTTTTAATTATAATTAACAAAGGTGCTATTAATTGTACTTTTATACATTTACGTAATCATTTATTTTATTTCAACATAAGAGCATCCTTTTTTGGGAGCTGTCTACACATTCGATTAAATGATTTAATACCTTTAATTTAAGACATAGGAACTTACCATATCAATGTAGACCAAAGGAAGCAAGGCAGTGCATACCGAAGCTAGAACTGCGTACTCTAGCTAGAACTGCATACCAAAGGTATATCTACAAATGCATACCCTAGGCATAACTTAGCTAGCTACAACTGCATACCCAAGCTACTGTAAAACTGAAACTGCATACCCGGTTACCCCTGAAGAAACTGTATACCCTAGCAGCAACTGCTTCAATGTGTTGCTGTACCTGAAGACTTCAAAGGGCCAGCAAATAGAGCAGTGATGCTGTCTTCTCTGCTTTTTATGATTTAGGCACTTTAATGTTTATGTAACTTATTTTTATACACTTTGATTATGATTTTAAATGAATTTAGTCTGGTAAAAAAATCTTTCTTTATTATTTTTATAAAATTTAACTGTATACCCTAGCAGCAACTGCTTTAATGTGTTGCTGTACCTGAAGACTTCAAAGGGCCAGCAAATAGAGCAGTGATGCTGTCTTCTCTGCTTTTTATGATTTAGGCAATTTAATGTTTATGTAACTTATTTTTATACACTTTGATTATGATTTTAAATGAATTTAGTCTGGTAAAAATATCTTTCTTTATTATTTTTATAAAATGCTTTAAATATTTTCATCATTTTTTTAAGCATGAGGCTGCAATAGCCTCTGGGTTCAGAAACTCTGGCATATCAATTGGAAAAAGAGGCAAAATCATGTTGGTAGGTATCTTGATGCTTTTCATCACACAACCATGAATTATGTTAACGTTTTTGGTTCCTGTGCTGTAAAGCAATAGAAATCTTTGCAGTCATCCATGCATGTGCATCTGTACATCTGTGACGTCAACAGTTTAAAACAAGCAAACTTCAATTTCTATTTTTGCATAAATGTAATATTGGTCATGTAATTTTGCCCTATTGCTTGGAAACACTTTTGAATAAATAATCAAGCAATACACAACTTTATTACCCACTTCCAGCTTGGAATTAATCTAGCATCAGTAGTACAGTAAATTATTGAATGTCTATTTTGATAGAAACCAGATCCAAATGCTGACATCTCCAAATAATAACTTGTACCAAAAATGCAATGACTATCGCTTTAGATTAGAGGACATTAAAAATTCCCTAACATTTCTTCCTGAATAAAGAATTTGAACAATATTATATATATTTTGAATTCTCTTTAAAGAAAAGTCCTGGATCCATTTCTGTTTACATCATTACAAAAAGTGTAATTTTACCAAAATGGCTGTATATGAACATCGGCCCTCGCAGAAGTCTGGTTCTGATGGAATCAGATGCCTGAAGGGCTGGTACACTTACCAGTTATTTTAGAGCAACATGCTGTAATAACAGGTTACTTAAAATCAGAACGTTCAAAAACCAATGCACTGAAAAGGACTCGTCTCAACAAGATCAAACCATATCTGACAGACTGTCTTTGAATTCCTGAAAACATGGTATACAACCGTGGTTTTTAATTTATCTATGAAAGCCAAATTATTTGTTAAGTTGCTTTCACAGGACAAAGATAGATGATCTCCGAGTTGTACTTTATAGACCTAAAGTGAAACTCTGAGATACTCGGGCCAAAACCACTTGCCGTCTGCAAAGACCTTGAAGGTTTTTGGAAATTTCAAATTATATTCTATTTTAAATTATACTCCAGTACAATATTAGGATACTACATTCATTATAATTATTGCAGTCATAGTATTGATTTAATATTTTGGCAAAAGAAGACGACACTCTATGTTTTAATATTTCTTGCTTGTGTAATCACAAAAAAAAACAGTAGTGGCACCAAGATTTCCCGACTTTAGGTAATGTCCCGACTTTAGGTAATGTCCCAGAACTTGTGGAGGTGGTCCAGGAGGTGGAGATTGTGACACAATTGAGAGATTTTTAATGCTTAAGGCCCATAATCGATACAGCCTTTTTCTGTAAAATAGAGTTTGTTTAAGGCTGTCGACTGGGTCCAGAGACTGAGAAGCAACAGATTTAGTTCTAGATCTTGGTGGGGTCTCCCCTTAAAAATGGCACAGTGTTGCATTTTGGTCTTCACTTTATTAACAAAAATATTAGGTATTTTATTTTTTCTTATGGGCCAGAATAAATTCCTTCATGGGCCAAATTTGGCTCACACACTGCACACCTTAGATTAGTCTGCGATGTACCAGACTCAAAGAACATTGAATAATGCATGGTGGGCGGGCCCACCCAGCCTTAAAGCATGCCACCCAGTCTAAAGCTAATTTCATGGCCCTTCAGCCACCTTTATTAACCTCCTTGTCCATCCTTAAAGTCCACTCTTATTATTTAGAGTTTACCAATGTTTCACCCACCAACTCTTAAAATGTAAACCACCTACACTTAGTTTCCTATAGCTACATCCCTGAATAATGCACATTAAAACTGTAGTACAACTCCTGTAGGACACCCAGCAAAAAAAGATTCAATTTTGTAAGGGGAGCAAAAAAGGAAAATCTAAAGTGGTTGAGATCCACAGCAATCAGGGGCAGATCCAGAGATGTCCGAAAGGGGGACCAATCGAGACAGCACTACCCAAGGGGTTCGGGGCATTTCCCCACAAAAATTTGGTTTTCTAGACATTCGGAAATAAAATCTGAGGCATTTTGGGCAATCAAGAACCATGTGCTTTAGTTCCACTAAGTCATAAGAAATAAATAATTTAAATTAAATTAGTATTTTAAGCTTTTGACGAATACAAAACTTAATGATTCTTTTTAATTCTTTATTAAGGCAATACGCAGCACACATGGGCTGGAAGTTCCATTGTCAAAGGAGGGCAGATTACTAATAAATACTGAATATCTACATCATATAACTGAGTTAGCCAATGAGAAAATGAAAGAAAACTTCAAGCGAATTGATAGGTAACAACAAGTTATATATATTGTACATAGAGAATATTGTGATATTACTATACCACTGAATATTATTAGTATCTGCAATTACATAATCATTGAAAAAAGTGTGAATATTATGGCCCATCAGATTGATCTCTGTTTTACATGTGTTCATTGAATACTGGTGTTGTATCTGCATACATTATAGAGTGTGAAATCAAATACTGTACATTCAATTGGATTTGAACCTCACACCAAAGCCTTTAATAGTAACCCAGTTGGTTAAGCGTCTACATGGACGGCATTGAAAAGTCATGGAGTCGAATTTATATAAGTTTAAATTTACAGAAAGGTACTGTATAATAAAGGACATAATAATACATCGTGTAGCATAGCTCTCAATATATATATATATATATGTCCTTTATTCGAACACTGTATTTACCTTTCTTTGATGATTTATATATGATTTAACAGTGTTAACTAGAGTAGGCCTACGCACTTACGTTTTCTCGTCCTTGAAATCGGAAGTCTATCTTCTAATTTACCGTACGGCCACAAGTTTAAAGGCAAATCGTAGAGAAAACGGTTGTCTGTAATTATAGGGTCTTGGTTTTCGCCGTCTGTTAGACCCCCGACTGGTTCAATATTATCATCGATGTCATACCTCTGAAGAAGCTGTAACATGGCATCCGGTAACTGTTGAAACAAAATAAATACACCCAATTAAGCTGGACACACATTGCGCTGAATGCCGTAGGCCGACGCGATTCCATATTTAATTCAATAACAATAAAAAAAAAAAAAATACATAACAAAATAAGCGAACGTTTACTATGGTCGAGAATTAACATAGAGACCTGGAAGGGTCTTTCTCTGAAGGCCATCTTAACAAAATATATAAATTAAATAAATACACAATACAATTTAAAACATGCTTATAGATTTGCTTTGCAATACGGTAATATAATTTGTTAGTAAATGCTTTATAATATGCTTTCATAGAGGGAACGCAAAGCGACGAGACGCGCACAGCGGATCGTTTTTTGTAACAATCCGCTCTGCCTGCTGGCAATCAGCAGGCGGTATCGCGTCGTCAACCTCCGGAGAGTGGATATAAAGTCGTCGGCCGACGGTCATACGACCGTTGTACGACGCACTGTGGCTCGGCTTGACGATTGGTAAGATGCCATACATAATATAGCGACAATTATTAATGAGTCCGTAGATATTTATACCGAATCAGTCTAGTCTACATACGCACTATCATCCACAAAACTAACTAGTGTAATAACTTTATTATTACTAACACAGATTGAAGCTTTTATTGTTGTTCATATTGCCATTATCGTTAATATTGTTACTAAAAGCCATTTTCCCTCTTCTAGTTTCTTAATTACTGTAATTTTATTATTACTATGAGTTTTTCTACCCTCCACTTCGGTCACTTGCCATGCCTTGATCTTCAAATTTGACCCAAGCAAAGGTCAAAGATGTGCCTAGTAATAACAATACGTAATGTAGTGATATTAATTATTATAGTATGTGTGCTAACGGTAAACTTCCGGGCAATAAAAATGTCTGTCCTATACTTAAGTCTCCCTAGGTGTGCCATGCACTATTGCGTACTAAAATAGCGTGGTAGCGAAGTACCGTAAGTATCAATAAGTAAAACATGTAAAAACCGAACAATGTTATTTCCTGGGCATGCGTAGACTATATTTAGACATTCTCATTATCTTATTGCCTATTGCAGATTATGTTATCTAATGGTTAGATATTAAACCTTCGTTATTATTGTACATTTTAGCAGACAGTCTGACTGTTCAATCAATATTATTGCAAAACAACCTACAACAAGATTTGTGCATCTGATAAGTAAAGCATTTTTCTATCAATTATAGTCACCACGATCATTGGGAAATGCAATCAAACAACTACCAGTAAATGGTCGCGTATTTGGATGATGAGCATACATCTTCATACATAGGGGGCCTACTATATACGGTTGGCGCAGACATATAGGAATGGCTTATCGATTGAATTATTTTTAGATTATCTATCGATAGTTTTATTTTTTTTAATCACTTTTAAGTGTTTTCAATTTTAAACCTTTCATAAAAAAATAGGAATTATGTTGGATAGGTGGTTTTCAGAATCCGGGAGTAGACGGGTTTAGGAGATGCCGTGTGAGTCAATATTAAGAATAGTAATGGGATTTCGAGTGAAATACCTATGGATCTATAATTAATTATTCTTTTTGAAAAAAAAAATTACCATGGTATTTGGAAGGAACTACTACTGAAATTTATTCGCCCGTCATTGGTTATGGAGATTCTATTCTACTTTGATCATGTAAATTGTAGTTTAATAAATAGATGAAATGGAATAAATGAAATCAAATGATAGGCCTAAATAAAGGAAAGAATGTTGGATGTTAGTAGGTCTAAACATAATAAACATTAAGAGGACAATCGGAGACGGTTTGAGAACGCTTAAGCTGATACGGCAAATCTCTGACAAAAAAAAAACACTACCTATTAAATCATAACATGAAAACTTGTTTCTGAGGTACATTTTAATCTGACTTAATTCAAAACACTCCATCTTATATCAGTAATGTTTTAACCGTTAGAAGAGCATGATCGATAGAATCGAAGGCCCGGTTGGAAAAGTTCAAACTAATCGTATGGAACGCCTCTTGTCAAAAAGCTTTAGGCATATCTTACTTCGTAAATGTAAATAATCAAGATTCGTTGAAATTAATATTGAGCACTCATATACAGTAAATCTAAATGAATTGAAAATATCAATAAGCATAATAAGCTATAAATATGTACTGTATATTCAATTGAATTCTATCACAAGTGATTGAATATTTATTAATGTAAGAAATACTGTCGAGTACAGTATTGATAAATTAGACAGATTATTACAGTTCTACTTTAAACTTCTACACATTGTAATAATATGTTATTATACACATGGTTATGTGAACTTTAAACGTGTTGTCATGTTAATTTGACCGTTGTCATCATTATTTAAATAATACATTATTCATCGGCATAAATTTATGTTTTTTTTCCCTTCCTTTTATTTCTTTTTATTGTTTTATTTTTCTAAGTCTACTGAGCTTGACGAATAACTTCCAACACTGATTGAAACAGTCTGCCTTAGGCCTAGTAATCGAGTGAATGTTTTTGAATGCTAAGATACCGGGTCAATCTTCTTAAGACTCCACTTTCATCAGCTGTCGGTGCAAATTACTACTTATTGTTGCTTTTTTCACATTTAGATTCTTAATTGTTTTACTTGCAAACTTCGTGCAGTTGATTGATTAAGAGATATTTAAAAAGCCTTGTGTCTGCGACAGTTTTCAGTTGAGCACGAATGTCATTCGTTCATAATCGGGAAAGACTGTTCATTAATTCTTTATCTCTTGTTCTAACATTTTCTTAAATGAGGACAGACAAAGCCGTGTCTTCGATTTCAGTCAATTAGACCATGTGTTGTACTAACGTCAATATGCCAATTCTAATTATATAAAAACTGGCAAAACTTTTGAATGCAACTTATTTACTGTACATGTTGACAACCATAGGCCTACACGCATTCACCAACACATATACATCATGTGGTTACATGCACACGAATTCGATACATTAGTGTATAGTTGGATGGATACACGTCATTATGTATGTTGGCATTATAAGTATGGACACAATTTCAGAGTCATACACACATCGCCATGCACATAGCGGTATAGATACAGATTTCGACACAGAGATTGTATTGACACGTGAACCCTTGACACATCGAATTTGTGTAACGTTTATTTTCATGCAAGTAGAAATTCAGTCAATTTACTGTGACTTTCGTCGGTGAAGCTTTAATGAAGAATTTTTTACAGTCTGATGGTATCATTTCTGGTCATACACATTTGTTAATCTTAGAATTTACTCCAAAAATTACGGGGCTAAGTTAACTTTGGACCCGGCCTGTCGGGAAACTTGGTAATTCCCATCGGGGGCCTTAAAAATTCTGTCGAGGACCTTGTTCCCGTTGACGGGAAATTTCTGGCGCAGCCACTGGAGAGTTTAAGAAGAGTCGAATTGCAAAATAAATGAGAAGGGTTAAGCACCAGATGCAAAACTGCCGTTGTTGTATGACGTGTTCTCAATAATGTTCGCATGGTCCAACTGAACATGAGGTTGCTGGGTCGCAATGATATTTACATGGTCCAAATGAACATACTGCTGTATGTATGATCTCAATATTGTACACGCAAAGTTGTATTAGGTATTTTTCGCTGCACGACGTTAACCTTAACTTTAACCTTAGTACCCGTACCCAACATGCAGCGCGATAGCTCCACCCCTTTTGTAAACAAATCGAAATACGCATGCGCAAACTAACGTACGTCGAGTACGTAAAATCCTGAAATTAACGTACTCCGTAACGCAAGATGAATAAATCATGACGTCATTCGTTAACGTTAAGGTTACCGTCGTGTGGCGAAAACTGTCTATTGTCTCGACTTATTCATCTATGTAGTCCCAATGCATATGCTCTGGTGTACTGTATGGTCAAAATGATGTTTGCAAATTATGGTCGAATGAAATTAGATCCAATTATGTTTGCATAGTCCAAATGAACACACAGTTATAGTCTCAACACACTGACACATGCTGATGGTCCCAAAGCACATGTTATCGGCAATGTATGACAACCTTAAGTTCTCACGCACGTAACATAACATTCTAAAAGCTTATATCACACTAGCACGCATCAAACTCCACAAGCGCTTTGACACTAACGCGAGAACACGTATCAAACAACTCAGACGCATGATTTCAAGTGGTTCACACTATACTACTGAAGGTGTGGTGTAAGCGCAGTAGCATTGTTTGCGTTTGCTTGTGTCTAATTGCTCTAATGTAATCCATTCCAAGGGTTATTATTATGTAATGATTTTATTTAAACTCAATTTTAATTTCAATGAATGCTCAATCAAAATATCACAAGAAAACAGGACTTGATTGTTAGACTTGAAACGTATTCTATAAACACATTGATGTACGTGCGTGCTCATCTAAATTCATATATCAAAGATGCCGAAATGTGTGCATTAAAAACATTGTCCTTACACATTATTTGAGTGTACTTTGGACAATTGCATCAGCTATCAAAAAAACCTACTTGTCCTTCGATATAAGGTTAGTCCTTTGTGAACCTAAAAATTCTCGATATTGTATTTTCATAAATTATATCATCACAATCATTACTGCACTACTACAACCTGTAGCTAAAAGCTAAAAACTACGGTATAGCTTTTATCATTAGTTCATGTTAACATATAAATTTTGTACTTATTTAAACAAAAATTATACAAAGCAAATCAGTAAACGTTATTAAAGATGTATTGTCCCTTGCTAAAGTCAAACAATAAAAAGTAATTTTGAAATAAACGTGCTCATATTGCAATAGCATACAAATTATTAACTTGTGCATAAAAATTATTGAATTATTGAAAAATGTGTACCCTGATTTTTAAACCAAAAAATTATAATAAATATAATAAACAATTCCTGGAAGTGTTTCTATCATTTTTTTCGTTGTAAACTGATGGGTAAAGATTTTTTAAATACATTAATTTCTATTTTCAAGTTGATAACTTTTATGTTACTTCAAAATGGGCAAGTTAATTTAAAAAAATACTTGTTTATTTTTTTTGGTATTTAGCATGGGACAATACCGTACATCTTTGAATATAACGCGACAAAACGACATTACTGTACAAGTTTACGTTTATATTTCTATTTAACATGGAAATGTGTATCCCGACTATGAAAGATAACTACAGTATTAATGTACATTGGGAAAACATGTTTATTATTAATTCGAATCCCTTCAGAAATAAAGCTATGTTCGCGAGTACAGTCATGGTATAATCGTCTGCAGGCGCGTATTACTGTAAAGCTGCGTTCACACTATCAAGCGTGAGACGCAACCGGCTTTACGCAAACTCAAGAAGCGTTCCCTCTTATGACAAAGGCTATGTTCAGACAGCCTTCCGTCAGAATTAAATTTACAACATACGTGCAAATATAATTATGCTCACGTTACTTCACACGAGCTTCGACGCAGTGATTATCAATGGCAAGATTGAGCTACGTGTTGGTCCTGTGCGCGTCTTATTTATCGTGTGGTAAAGCTAAGGCATAGCGCATTGCAGTTTGCGCATAATTGGCATGGCTTAAACCGAAAACGATATATGGTTGCTTGAACCATGGAGGGCTTGAACGCGTCTCGTTCTAGTACTAACCAAGCTGGTTTGAGTAGGTTAAACCGTATTATCACAACCAATGAAGGATTGAGCAATAGGAAATTAATAATGTACCCATTACTTAATTTATGGCGTTTACAAAGCTTAACCTACTATAATCTTTTATTTAAAAGTTGCTTTTATAATTACTTAATCTTTATGAAATGAAGATTATTTTTTATTTGCTAAAAAAAAAATTTGTAAATAGCAACTTAGCGAAGTCTGATAAATAAAACGTGGCAGGTGTTCATTTGTTTTCTCATAAAATGAGCATGTATACATTACGGTGCAAGCTACTGATTATCTTCAAGTTAATGTTCATACTTTCATGAAAAATAGATGTTTGTCATTTAAAAAGTTGACTTTTATGCGTATAACAATTTAAACGCCTTACAAAAATGGAAGCCCCGCTAGGCCTAAACCTCGCCACCACGTATGGTTAGATGTTGAACCGTAAAGCCTGATTCCATAAAATCTCTACAACTGTCACTACCGTGTTTTCAGTGCAATCGGGAAGGCTCTAAGATTCGACTGCCCAATCAGCATCACCGAAAGCTGTCGGTGATAGCGTGTAGCGATTGTATGGAAACCAAGCTTACGCTGCGTAACAAGAGATTGAGTTTGGCGTTCTCATCAACTCCCTTGTGGTGGTTGCGTCGGATATGTGCGGTGTAAACCAAGCGTAACAGTACACAAAGCATGCCGCACAATAAAAGTTGGAGAGCTGTATGGACGTCAGTTCAACAAACATAGGAATGGGTAAACATTAATCATGACGTCACATACACGAGAAAGTCTCTTTAATGGGAAATTAATAACACATTAAGATAGATTATTAAATGCAATGAGCTAATACAATAATTAAATTTTAATTATTGTATTAGTTCATTGCGTTTATGTATTAGTTCATTGCGTTTATGGAGCCTTAAACCTATACAGCAACTAATTCACATTTGAAAAAATGTGTAAATATATTTCTATTATTTCAGAAACCTTATGGTCAAACAAATGTTAAACATTTTAAAGCATTTATATATATATATATATATATATATATAGAATTTGAGTTCATGTTTATTTCTAGTCTTAGCATAATATATTATTATGATAGAGAGCCACGTAGGTTGTCGATCATAATTATTTACAAATTCATAGCAAGATACGGCAGTATTTTTAAATTTTAATTTTTATCAAATGACCTTCCTAATTCATCACTTTTTTTTTTAATTATTTTCGTCTATTTGCCGACGATACTAATTTATTTCATTCTTTTACAGAAAACATTCTTGATTTATCAGACATTATTATTGAATTTAAAAAAAATATCAGTTGGTGTAATTCTAATAAATTGACAATAAATTCAGAAAAAAATAATTTTATGATTTTTCAGTCAAAAAATAAAATATTAGTATTCAAGTTAATTTTTATTTATTAATAATTTTTTAATTTTAAAAAGTTTGTCTGTTAGTTTTGTTGGTATTAAGTGGGACAAATCTGACGCTGTAAACACTGTCTCTTATACACATCTAGATGTGTATAAGAGACAGATATGGGGATGCAGAAGGGGTGCGATCGCACCGTCTGCATCCCTTCTGCATCCGCCCCAGAAACGTTAATATCTAGTGGAGTGGAGTTGACTAGTTTAGTGGTTAAATTGCTTGCTTTCCAATCCCAGGGTACTTCTTCAATTCCTGTCACGGTAACAGGATTTTGTTGTCAAGACCAAAAAAACTCCACTCCCTAGTGTGAGGAGACTTAGTCTATGTAAAGCATCTTGTGACAGGGTTTGTTACTTCGAAGAGTGATTAAGTTCACTGTTTGACGTATCATTGTCCCTCGTGCCTAAAGCTAAATAAAAAAAAAATTGGCAGAACTAGTACTATCCTAGTCTACTGCGGTTACGATATTTCATTAAATGTCATTCAATAAAACTCACTCGGGTGAATAAAAGAAATATAATGTATAGCACGCATTTAGTTTTTGATTAAAGATAGCTATAGCAGACTTACATTCAATGCCTTTACTTACATACATTTAAAATGGTAAATACTTGTATTATATTAGTTTGAAAAAAGCATCATAATGTTTTAAAGTATTCTTACCTGTGTGTCATCTGTGCTTCTTCTAAATCTGAGACTAGCGGAGCTAATGATAGTAAAATAGCTGACGAAAATAAAACATGCAAGTATTGAAGACTTTGCCATGTTAACGTTAGGCCTATAAATTTAAACTAGAACTTGTTCACTTAAACTATTGATGACGGATCGCGACAGTTCCTTGTAAAATCTATAGGTCTGATCGTGCTGTGTCTACGGTCGATTGAGTGAAGTACTGGATTTAACGACGTTTTATACCCGTCTGTGTCGTAAATCATAATATGTTGCAACAGTACCGAAGAAGTTTTTTGTTCGCTTCGTAAATATTTCATGACGTATACTTCCGGTAGTTACATCAACCACCTTCACCCCTCTGCAGAATTTTGTCGTTTTCCGCGTGTATTTTTGCTTGTCTGCGTTGAATGTTACGTCGTCATTAATCCTGATTACTTATAAAGGATCCTGCGTTGCTACACATTATGCGTGTGGACTTGGATATAACTGAATTGATTTAATCACACATAGAATCAATTTACCGTCGCATCAGTAAAGTAGGCCTATAGAAACAAAATAGTGTAAACAAACACTCGATTTTCCCAATCTTGTGCCATTGCGTATAGTGAAACAGCATTAGTTTTCACACCGAGACACTGCGAAGAACAGAGATGATCATTGTGGTACTGTGAAAATGTTAAAGTCCCCGTTGTTTTGTCCCTGGCTTCCACACAGTTTTGGTGATTTTAAAAAATTTCCGTCACCAAACAGGCAATCTAGAAAGTTTCAAATAATGGGTTACGAAACGGAGATGAAATTTCAGAAATCATCAACCATACAAATTAATGTGCAAATGAGGGGTGAAAATATAGATTTCTCATAGGCCTATCTTGGCAAACCGCTAGACTCAGCTCAACTCTAATTGCTCAAATTATCTCTAATAAAACTTTACGGTACCGAATATGCAACTTTCATGGTCCTATTTTTACAGGATTTTCAACGTTTGTCTCTAAAATTATGGTCAATAGAGACTTGATTTTGGTCTCAATGTTTCAGATACATGTTTATTCACTTAGTCCAACGTTTTATTGACACGGCTGGTTTACTCTGCAGTGGCATTTTTGTTACTATATACTTCAACAAGGTGCTCTTGTTTCAGTGGGATATAAACTAAGCTCAGTGTACGATAGATGGTATTCATTTGGTATTTCCAAAATTTAGGGCCTCAAATCATTGAATGAGACAAATGAAACAGTCACCAGTTGTGTTTACTTCAATCCTTTGTGTTTGCTTTTGAAGTGTGCAGTAAATGTAAAACAGCTCCATTCAGGAATGAAGGATTAAGGATACTTATATTTACAGCAAATAATGCATTATGAGTATTATGGCGTCACAATCTGTAAGGTATCACCTTAACGCTGTAAACATGCTGAAGTTTTAGTTCACAAATTATAAATAATGTAGTGAGAGTCGATTAAGTCTTTAGTTCAAATTAGCAACACATCTAGAAAATCTATTAATAATATTCTGTCCTATTCTTCACAATTCACCCATCTTTCGATAGGCAATCAATGACAATTCCATGAATAATTATATGACCGATTTTCAGTCAGGTTTTGGAGACAGAAACCGATCACAAACAACGTGGTATTGTATCTCCGACTCATTAGCAAATACTTTAAAAGTTCATCGTTTCCGAGATAGTTTTATCACACAATGCGCAACAATACAACAACTCTGCTAGCAAAACAGATGAGGTAGGCCTATATCTATTAATACGCACTTTTAAAGAAATTGTTCATTATATACCATACTTCATAATAATTATACATGATAAATTACAGGCAGACTAATGAAGATTATCCTCACTGTATCAAATTGCTGCACTGTGAAGAAGTTTAATGATTCTGTTAACAAAAGGAGGTGATTTTTATAATATACTTCAGAAGAGGAGATGGATTGTCTTTGGCTATAAATCAATTAGTGGAGTGTAACAACAATACAGAGAAACTCAAAGGTGAGATAACACAGATTTTGCCATGTAGCCTATTTTCATCAGTTGGTTACCGCATGTTTTCACATCGTGCTTATCGTAATTATGAATTTTTGAACTATTACATTAATGGTAACTCTATATTCTTCTATCCAATCCAACTAATATAATAATAATGATAATAATATTAATAATAATAATAATAATAATAATAATAACAATAACAATAATAATAAAAATAATAATATTAATAACAATAACAATAATAATAAAAATTTAAAAAATAATAATAATAATAGTCCTAATAATAATAATCAATCATATTTGTAAGAAACTCATAATAATAACAATTATAACAACGATAATAATAGTAGATAATAATTCATCTATGTTGGTGTACGATGTAGAAAACAATAATAAAAAAAACCAAAGTTTTCTACAATAATAGTAGTAATTATACATGTTTATACGTTATAATTCGATATAGGATTTCTCTAATTTAGTTAATTTTATACAATTACCAAGTTAGTCAGCTTCTGATAAGTTTACGCTCGTGCAATAAGAGTTCAATTTATAAAATATGTAGCAATAATAAAGACTAGATATCACTGATACGTGAATATAGATTAAAACACGAGAGAAGACCTCTCGCCATATTTCTTCATTACATAACAACATAACAACATAACAAACCGTATGCACTATAACCTAAAAATAGTTGCAGGAACCGACAAAACTATGCATATTCTGAAATTATGAACTGAAGGAATGAACAAAATACTATATGGGAGAGATTCCAAACTTGTGGAAGGTCTTAGCCTGCATACTAGCAAAAACGATATAAAATATAAATTGTAAGTTAAGGCCTATTGTATTTGTGATAAATAAATTTTAGCACGCGACATAATATTAACATAATAATAATAATAATAATAAGTCCCATAGTTAACGCGCTTACGTTATAACAAAAATACCACTATTGTGTAAAAAATAATTTAAAAATTGTTCATGGCACCCCATCGGAAAATTCATTTCCTCATTGCTTCTCTTGTTCTCAATCTTATGACACCATGTGCTTCATTGAACTAAATAAAATAAAATAAATTTCTACATTAAAATTTCTAATGCGATTCCCATGCTTTACTTCATTGGATTATATAAGTATTGTGTTATAGAGATTCCCCTAACTGCGCTATATAAATCAATCTCTTATTATCTTTTAATAGAAATTTAACGATGGAATGTATCAGGAATATAATAATACTCTCCGATGTAACCCCTGTCTCTTATACACATCTAGATGTGTATAAGAGACAGTATATATATACACCGACAGTGACAACGATAATTTATTTTTTCTATGTTCGTACGTTTACCTCCTTACGATTCAGTACAGCAATACAATATCCATGATTATGATATATTATAGCCTTATGTTTGGGGTAACGCAGTTTAATACTATCAAGATTTCTGGGGGATATTCCCAGGGTATCCTAGCTTCCTACGTCACTAACATCAATAGATTCGACCTTGATCACATGATTATTGTTACGTGGCATTTGACCCTTGATGCTCAGTTCGAAGCGTTCACTCCTACTTGGCCTAACTTTTTTTCCTTTTTTATTAAAATGCAATCATGTCGTGAAATTCACTGCCAGAACATATTATGGCCACCAAAGTGTTATAGTTTTATAATCCTAGTTAAGGAGCATCTCTGTCAATTAGGTCATCTTTCATATATTTTTACTTTTTATATTTTTATCAACTGTGCATTTTCTTTCATACATTTTAGCGTGCCATTTTTATGAATTTACATGGTATTTGTTTTAATTTACTTCTCGTTATGGACCAAGGATGAAAGTTTTACTTTCGTTTTAAACTTTATTTGATTGTCCATGCTCAATTAGTTCATTTTAATTGTACTTTGTTTTTTAATGCCTGTTCATGTTAGACCTATGTAATGTTTTTTTGTGGAAGCAAATAAATCAAATCAAATCCAACTACACGTGAGTTTGAATATGCTCCTAGACTTCTTCTTTAAACATAAACACAAATATCGGTTTACTAAAACTTTATTGAATCTCACTGAATGTTATAAGGATCCGGATCATAAACCACTACAATATATTATAGTGTTGTTCTCTAGCTCACGTCATGTGCGTAACGTTAGTATGTGTCTAAATTGATGGCAAACTTAACTGGAACTGGAACACAGGCAAATACTATACAAAGTGCAATAAACGTCTGTCCTTTAAAAGCATTGAAAATAGGCTACCGTGTAATAATATGTAATAGTAGGCCTATACTTTTTTCATTTTAAAAGAATGTTAAGACTTATGCCTAATGTGGTTGGAACAGACGTTAAATATTTAGTAAGCATGGAATCGAGGAATCAAGGAATATTGTACAACAGGATACAGCAGAAATTTGGATCAATGAGCTTAAACTATGGGTTAAATATACAGATAAAAATTTAAAAATATATTTAGTGTAGATTACAGACATTAAACTATACAATAGAAGAAACAAAAAAACAAAAAGAGTAATGAATAAATATAGATAAAACAATGTAGGAATACCTGAAAGTTGATTATTGCGAGAAAGATATTGCAAACTGACATACCGAATATTCGAGAGGATGACAGACATACACGGAGAAAATTGTTATTAAAAATGAAAATGGAGTCATAAAAAAAGAGTTCCATTTCTATTGGTTTTGCACTAAAGTGGTTACCGTCTACCTGAGTTGTAATTTGAGTGTAAAGGATGCGAAGCATCGCTAATGATCGTATCCAATTTACGGATGACCGTTTGATTATGCGTGTCATCAATATTAGATTAGAATCATTAGATTTATTCGGTGTAAACACCAAGTATAGCCCACGAAAGTCTAGAAGAAGACTTATTTCCAGTGGGGTCCTTCTGGCGGTAATTGGGCAGTACACCGAAGAGTGTACAGCGTTCTTTAACGTGCACATGGGCCATAATGTACACGGGACCAACGGCTTAAACGTCTCATCCGAAAGACGGTGCGCTACTTGTATTTCAGCCCTCTAGCTGAAACATAAGGAGAGGCAGCGATGGGAATTGAACCGGGGACCTAGAGATCTCCATGGTTCAGCGCACACACAGCGGCTACCACCAGATTAGCCGACTGAGCTAAGCTGCACTCTCAAAGATTGATATTATTATGTAATAGGCCTATATAAATATTTAATATTTTTATATTCAATTTAATATTCCCTGAAATTCTTGATTTTTTCTTTAGCAGTTCAGAATCTTAAAAATCTTTTA